CGACAGGGCTGGATGCAAGGCTGGTGGCAGCTTTTTCTTTGAACAGGCAACCAAGAGGAATGTGGGGGCAGCAGTTCCAGGGTGTGCCAGGGAAAAGGGGCCGGGTGCCAAAGTGCGGCACGTGCCCTCTAGATTGCGCAAACCTGGCAGAGTGCAGACCTACTAAGTTTGATGCCCAGCTCCGAGAGCAAAGAAGTCCAGCGCACTCATCCCGTGCAGAGCCAGCCTTCCGCTTGGTGGCGCGCCCAGGACAGAGCTTTACCGTTTGGCTGCCGTGCACTGAGGGATTAAGATTGTTTTGTGGGCTGGAGAAAGAAAGCAGAGGGAGAGGTCAGCCTTTGCATCTTCACACCTCTGCAAAGTGGCAGCCTGGTGCGGGGAGGGAGGGGGCAGTGGCTGGTTTGTTGTTGTTGTTTGTTTCCATGTAAATGCATTCCTGGAAAGGTCTGGAGGGCAGAGCATAAAGTTTATTTTATTTTGACCTTCGATAGTCTGTTCTTTCTTCTGAATTGTAAACAATTGCTGGACCTGAGTTCGACTTAAAAAAAAATCCCTCTTTCTTTCCTTTTTTTCTGTTTTCACTCTCCAAACACTTCGTTTAAGACCTGATCCTATTCCATTTTTCAGAGCGTGGCAGCCCCAGCCCTTTGGCGGTTCACCGGAGGATCCCCCCGTGGTCCGAGGCAGCCGACTCCCCGCCCTTTTCACTCACAGAACCGCGCCGGCCGGAGGGTTGATTATTCGTTCCAGCCGAGCTATTGACAAATGCTGAAAGACAATGTTTTGAAAGAGAGAGCGGGAAGTATGAAAGGGGCTGGGGGAGGGAGAGCGGGGGTAGATTCGTTGCCATTGAATTTCTAAAAGGGGAAAAAATGACAGCCTCAAATGGTTTAACATTTCTCTTTTTTCCGTCACACATGTGAGAAATATAAAGGAGGAGGACATCTGGAAAGCTAGGCTACCCGGCAATCAGAGAGCAGAAATCCAAGCCATTGAAGTTTGGAGGGAGACAAAAATTTACATACCTATTTTCACAAAGAGGAAAGCTGTAACCTATTGAAATGGAGGGGGTGGGGGGGATGTTGCGGGATTTTTTTTAAACCTCTTCCATATGCATCGTACCTTTTGGGCAGTTCCACAGCCCGACTTCTCTTTTCAGAAGCCCTTTGTAATATGAAACCCACTGTAGATAAGATACAATGTGAAGATAGTCCATTCTGCCGCCGTAAGAAATAAAATTGGTTCCAGAAACAAAGTTACATGACAAATGGTTTAATTGCCTTGCGAGAATTGGAAAGCTTGATTGAATTTTTTCCTTCATAATAATCATTTTTAAAAATTAAAGAATAAAAATAACTTTGCTAGCCGAATGGGATTTTTTTTTTGGGTGGGGGAGCTGGCAGGAGGGGGGTCTCTCACTTTATTGACCTTTAAACTAAAGTGTTATAATTCATAATCAAAATTTAAGAGCTCAGCAGAGATTTATTTTTAACATTATTTTAACATTTCCCTTGCAGCCAAAACGTTCTAACCTAACTACTAGTTTTTTTTCTGTAGGATTAAACAAGTGAACAAATGCAGGCATATTTTATTCTCATTTCCAAGTAATTTGTAGTTTCATATCGGCACCAACCAGGCTTGCCCTTCTTGGAAAGCATCTGGGAAAAGTTCCTTTAAGTATAAGATGAGTGTTAGATTTTAGAGGGAGAGACTTCTAAATGGTTACCAAGACAGATCTGACAAAATAACCCAGCGACTAATGCCTGTAGGTGAAATGAAATCATTCCGCTTTAGTTAGTAACAAGTTAAAGATCACTTAGACCACAGCACCCGACTGCAGAGATTTAAGGGAAATCGGACTTAAATAGGATGTGACTGGACGCTTAGGACTATTTTCTAACAAGTCAAAAGAGCTTTCCCCCCTTCCGTACTTACAGTCTTTGAAGACCAGCGCCGGGTCTCTGTGAGGCAGGACTTGGGCAATGATGTGTCTCAGGGAGTCCAAGGTTCTGTCCATCTTGCGTCTGCCGCTGCGCGCCTCCTGCACAGTGTCCTCATGCCTAAATTCTCGCAGCCCTGGACTGAATTTGTGCAGCTCATTGATGCACTGGATTACCAAAGAATCTCTTTTAACATCTGCCAATCAGACATTTCCCAGAATCTAAAGACCCCCTCAGGGGGGCCTTCCTCCCAGGCTCACTTATCTTTGTTGTGTGCTGAGCTAATTAGCTCTAAAGGCTGGCTGACAGGCGGGTTCCCATTGCTTCCTTCTGTTAAACACACCCACCTACAGGCCGGCTGGGGAAGCTAGCTAATCCTGGGAACAGCGTTCATCTCCAACCAGCTTTTGCCTGACTGGTGTGCCGCCTTCTGACTTGGGTCTGTCTTTAGGTCCTCCGGAATATGAAATCAAGATGGATCTTTCTCCAAGAAATTTTCTAAATCACAAAGGAAGAAATCTCTCCCAGCTCTGAAGCACTGTTACCTAAATTCTCCTCTGGTGCAGCGAGCTATAATGCTATGGAGTAACCAGGGTATGCTTTCTATTTGAACTCGGGGCCCTTTTTTTTGGGTTATTCGCCCAAATTACAGTCCGATCTCATGGGTAGAGGCACGGAAAACCTGAGGGTGATCTCACAGCTTGCCTGGGAACATTTGTTTCCCTAGTTAACCTTCAAGGCACTTTATTCCCAAGGATGGCTTTCAGGAACTCTGATATCATTTGCTTCTTCTCAGTTCAAGATGATAAATCTTTCTCTTAAATAGTTCAGAAAAGGAGAAGCAAACATATTTT